GGCTGTTCACCACTGAAAGAAGTCAGGACATGAACTCAAACAGGACAGGATCCTAGCTAGAGTCAGGAGCTGGAGAGTGCTGCTTACTGGCTTGCTTCCCCTTGCTTGCTCAGACTGCTTTTTTATAAAACTCAGGCACCACCCATCATGGACTGGGCCCTGCCCCTTTGATCATTAATTGAGAAAATGATTTACACCTGGATCTCATGGAAGCATTTCCTCAACGGAGCCTCCTTCTTTTCTGATGACTCATGTATCAAGTTGACACACAAAAGCATCCAGTACAAACCCAAGGGCTATGGGGGCTGGATCATGACCACTATGCTCATACCCGTAGGACAAAGCATCAGACTCAGGAAGAGGTAAAAGGACAGGGAGTCGAAGGGCCTGGGGACTGATGAAACCTTACATTTAATGGATCCATAGTCGCAGAGACAGTCCATTTGGCAGTGACATCTGTAGCTTCAGCTTTTTTGACCTGGATAGTGGTGAGCCTGTGGTGTAATACCAGCTACCTTCACAGCCATAGGGGTAGAGAAAATCACCATGTAGGTTCCTTTCCAAGTTGGTTCCAGTGCTTGACCCAGACAATATCACTGGACTGGAACAGGAGGAAAACAGTGGTGGACTCTGAGGTCAGCTGGGTCTCTTGGATAGTCCAATGATTAGCCTTTATGGAGATCTGGAGGGCCTGTAGTGACTTGAGAAAGGAATGGTTAAAGAGCTCCGTCAACTGCTGGTCTCTGAGCCTGGAAAGCAGTGGGAGAGGTCTTCCAAACATAATCTCATAGGGGGTAAATCCCTCTCTTTATGGGGGTTTAGCAATGGACCCAAGGCAAAGCAAAGGAAGAAGGTCTGTCCATCCTTTGACGGACTCTAATGAAAGTTTTGTTAGAGTTTCTTTTAATCTCCTATATTATTATTATTATAATTATTATTATTTATCTCCCCAGAACCCTGAGGTTAGTATATTTTAACACAATGAAGTTTCCTATCTATGCCCAATGCTTTAGCTATTAATTGAGAGGTTTTGTCTATGAAAGTCAGGCCATTGTTGGACCCCATTGCTATGGGGAGGTCAAATCAGGGGACTAGTTTCTGGAGGAGCTTTTTAGTTACTATTTGACCAGTTTCAGTCCAGTGGGGAACATTTCTACTCACTCCTCCCTGTGAAGAAACTGGGGCCTCTGACTCTCTTGAGTCTGGTTCTTCCAGAGAAACAGATGTACACTGTCTTGGATCTGAAAGATGATTCCTCAGCCTTCCATTGACACAGGTGAATCAACTCATCCTTGCTTTTAAATGGATAGCCCCAGAGGGAGGTTACAGTGGGCAACTTACATGAACCAGATTGCCCCAAGGATTTAAAAATTCTCTAACTCTCTTTAATGAGACATTAGATGCTGACCTCCTGCCCTTCCATCAGAAGTCTTCCAGGAAAATAGACTATAAGAGGGCCACCGAGGGACAGTTGCCCCAGAGTTACATACCCTGGGCTACCGAATGTCAGCTAAGAAAGCCCAACTTTGTCCATCAGAGACTACCTATCCTAGCTACCAGCTGAAGGGAGGCAAAAGGAGCTGGTCTCAAAGAGGTGATTTCCAGGGTTGCCTGGAATCTTTAAGCATGTCTCTTTAAGCCAGGCTACGTGGACTGCAATTTTCCCTTTGGTTTCCAGGGTGGTTGGGTATTGTTTAATCTGTATGGGATTAGATGAACCGGTTAGTTGAAGAATTATAGGAACTTGGTGTTGGGCCAGTTCTGGGGAGGTTGGTTGGTTTCTGCCCGTATCCCTGGGAATCTTTGTTATCAGTCTGAGATATTCCAATTGTATCTTTTAGTTGGAAGTAGAACTTGCAGCTAGGAGATATTCTTCTGACAGAGGGCAAGACACGAAATTTTGTTGGGTGTCAATAAGCCCAACTGTATCTCCGTATCAGAGAGGTGACAGTGGCTTCCAGTTTATGCAAAAGGTCTTGTCCCAGTCAGTTCTCTGTTGTTAAACACCTTTTGAGCTATCCCCAGCAACCGGGACCTACTTATACCTTTAATTTTTATAACCTTTTCTTAATATGTGGTGCTGACTAGGTAACAGATGAAATCTTTTTAGCAGCTGTCTTTAATCCTTTTTTAATTTTTTTTAAAGATTTATTTATTTATTATGTATACAGCATTCTGTCTGCATGTATGCCTGCAGGCCAGAAGAGGGCATCAGATCTCATTACAGATGGTTGTGAGCCACCATGTGGTTGCTGGGAATTGAACTCAGGACCTCTGGAAGAGCAGCCGGTGCTCTTAACTGCTGAGCCATCTCTCCAGCCCAATCCTTTTTTAAAAGGATCTAACAAAACTTGTTCAAAGTGTCCTTGGTCAGTGTTGAACAGAAGGGAAAATCTGTTGTCTGGCAGCAATCCCCCTGTCCTTCCTAAGGTTTTTTTTTTTTTTTTTTTTTTTTTTGGATCATTGGGGGAAAAAAAAACATAAAATCATGAAATAGAAAGGAGTGAAACTTTCTCTTTTCCTTTGGCTTCAGCTCAGGGGAGCTTTTTGCCTTCCCCTGGGCTGCTTAGAGCAAGCATGGAGTGGAAGGAATGCTCAAGTTCTTAGATGGTGGGGGCCTGGATGAGAGTCCCCAGCCTCCCCCACCATCACACAGGGCTGACCCAGACCATGATCAGGAGTCAAGCACCAAAACAAGCAAGTATTCCCTCTCCCAAAGCGCAACAGACAGGTGGAGGTTTATTTATTTATTTATTTATTTATTTATTTTTGTGTGTGTGTGTGTGTGTGTGTGTGTGTGTGTGTGTGTTTTAGGGGTGGGGGTTTCTTTGGGCAACCTGGAAGAGAGATAAGAATTCAGATACCCAACAGGTGAGGTACAGGTCTTCAGCCAGGGGATTCTCACACCAGAGAAAGCCACAGGCCCATACAGGGAAGCAGAACTGACAGAAACACACACACACAGACACACACACACACACACACACACACACACACCACCACCACCACCACCACCACCACCACCACCAGGGCTTTGGGTCTGATCTCTCCATCTTTTCTGATTGACTAATTTAGCAAACTGAGCAGAAGCAGTGGAAGAAGGGACCAGAGAAGAATATGTTGCTCCAGGTGACCAAGTTCTGGGACTGCAGCAAGGGGCCTTTATGTAAACAAAAGTATTACCAGTCAGGGAGATTAAAAGATTTGCATAAAAGTTTTATAAGGTTGGGGAGATAAAAGGTGAGAAAGATTTATGGGATCTTGGCCCTTGGTAGGCTGGCTACATTTGATAGGAAAAAGAAAAATATTTCTCACAATAGTGAGACTGTCTCAAAACAGCAAAAATCACAGATCACTGACAAATTAACCTACTTAAATACCTCCCCCCACACACACACACACAAAAGAAAACAAACAAGCAAAAACACAAAACCCTTTTAGGACAGCTTTTCCTAAAGTCTCCCGGATGAGTTTATAAATAGGTCCTATTTTAAAGTGGAAGCTTCCAGAAGCTGACACTGGGACAGACACAGTCATGTGATGAAGAAAGATGCTTTAGTGGTGATAACGACCCCATGAGATGTATTAGCTGCTGACAACTGCAGTCAGTTCCAGAGTGACAGTCTGTGAAGTTTACTCAATGGCAAAGATAGTTAGGAATGCTGTTCCCAGAGCGTATTCCCACCAGTAAGTGTAGACTCTATGCTGTAAGTGAAGCAATCCCAGGAAACATCAGTAATGGGGGGCAATGAAAGAAGGGAGGGAAAAACTGTCAATCAAGGCATGTCAACAAATGAGTTAGTCTGAAAAGAAGGGATTTCTGGAGGCTACCTACCTGTACTGTTGAATACATGGCCAGTTCTCATCAGTGTGGCATCAAAAACAACAGTAGCACTTATAATGTATTTTGGTTTAGAAAGATGGCTCAGTGGTTACAAACAGATATTGCTCTGATGGAGGAGCCAAATTCATTTCCCAGTTCACAAGGGATTATTCCCCTCTTCCGGCCTCTATAGGAACCTGCATATACACCGTGCAATGAGCAAGCAAACATTTTTTTTTAAATTAGCATGGAGGGATGTGCCCTTAATATGAGGTGGAGAGTATAATGGGCCCTCAGACATTAGCACATCTGACTTTCATGATACAAGTACCACTCAGGCCATAAAACTCAGCACATAGACACCAACAAAACAGTGACCTAATCCATCAAAGTCCATAGTTCTGGGAAATCTGTAAATGTACTAACGCTGCTTTTTGGCTCCTGAAGTTCCATTTCTGCTAACTGCTCTTGTTAACTGAAGTACGTCAACCCAGAACATGGTTTCTGTTTTGTTTTGTGCTTAAAAGCTCACCTGAGAAAGGCTCGGGCTACCCTGGGATCCAGAACAGTGGTGCAGTCACTGGCTGGCTAATAAAGACTTTCTATTGGCTTCTCTGCTGGATACCCCAACGACATGAGCACCCTAGTGGGTCTTTTCTGCCCACTCCAGAAGCACTCCCAGGCTAGTGCCTCTGTTCACAGCCACCATTGTGAACACCTATTGGGACTTCATCAGCCACGAAGAGCTGTCCTCTTAAATCTACAGGACCCCAGAGAGCTTGGTCTGGCCGTGATTCAAGGTGGAGAGCAAGATGGTCAATAGGACAGAGGACCACATTAACAACAGGTGGAGATGCTTCTGAGGAAGGACAGATTTGAGGGTCCAAAAGCACAATCGTTGCCTGTGTTGGTGTTGCCACCATTGGCCTAAAGTATTTTGTGTTTTATTCGTTTGTTGGTAGAATTTTGATTTACTTTGTTTTGTGACAGGGTCTCACTATCTAGCCCATCCCCTAAAGGTTTTTCTTTTCTTTGTTTTGAAACAAGGTCTCTTTGAATGGCCCAGGCTAGCCTCAAACTCATTATATACCTGAGGATGACATTGAACTTCTGGCCCTCCTACCTCCACCTTTCGAGTGCATCACCACAACCAGTCATGGTGGTGGGAATCAACGCCATGGCCTCAGATTACCTAGGTAAGCACTCTATCAATAAACTACAGCCCCAGCTCCCTCTGAAAATTTCTACACATAGCTGGCTGTTCTTTTCCAGGGCATCAGCTAGCCTCTATTCATTACTAATTTTCCAACTGAAAGAATAGTAGGAATTGTTTGTAGTTAAAAAAAAAAAATCTTGCTGGGTATCAGTGGCCCACGTCTTTAATCCTAGCACTCAAGAGGCAGAGGCAGGCAGATCTCTGTGAGTTCAAGGCCAGACTGGTCTCCAGAGCGAGTGCCAGGATAGGCTCCAAAGCTACACAGAGAAACCCTGTCTTGAAAAACAAAATAACAACAAAAAATCTTGACCTCTAATCATAGCAGAGGCAGGCAAATCTCTGAGTTTGAGGTCATTCTGATCTATATAGTGAGTTCCAGAATAGCCAGGGCCTGTCTCCAAAAACAAAACTAAAAATAAAATTAAAAGAAATCTCAGCCAGGCTAGGTGGCGCATGTCTGGAGCCCAGCTCTCAGATCTGGCTGAGGTGGGAGGACAGCTGAGAGTTCCAGGCCACTCAGGACAACAGAGTGAAATTCTGTTTCAAAAATAAGTGAATAAGTACATAGAAACTTTCTGCTGGAAAAAAGGAAGAAGTGTCAGTGATAGCATTTAAAAATGTTAATTATTAATTTTATGTGTTGTGGGTCTGGGGTCACTCAGAGATTCATCAATCTGACCATGAATAAATTTAAACAAAAAGAGGCTTTATTAAATACTGGCCAGGACTGTGGATACTGGCTGGGTCCTATCAGAGACTCAGGCTCTGAGTATGGGCCAACTGACATTGGTCAGGGGCTTATAAAGGCTAAACCCTGAAGGCTACATATATCCCACTTTTGTTCAGTCAGGAGCAAGCATACATCCTGCCTACATACTTCCTGCATATCCTGTGCAGTTGGGGCAACCAAGCTTGTCTACAGAAGCAAAAATATGCAGCTTGCTATCTTACATTAACAACAGCCCCCAGCATTCCAGAGAATTATCTGTCCTTGGGCAAGTGGGGCTTACAGGTTAGAGGCAATTTTGTTTCCTAGCTCTCTTAAGAGTAGTAATTTAAACTTAAAACATAATGCTAGCCATCACCTTGAAAGACCCCCGAAGAGATACTTTTGTAGAGGGAGACCCACACCCAGGAATCAGCGAGGCCACGAACTGGATGTAAAAAACAAGAGGCTTTATTGGAGACGCGGGTACCCGGGGCGACTTAGCTTTTC